TCAATTAGTTATGATTTATAAGTTATAATTTGCAAAACAGTGACCCTGAAAATTATGTATCTTTTCCAAAAATCTCATGATCTGAATGTATTTTAGCAACCCTGATTAAAAATGCTAACCTCATTGGCCTCTGTCAAAATTCTATGTGCCCAATAGATTCTGCAAAAACTACTCTAAACGTTAACCTTAGTTTAGTTCAACTTTGTTTTTTAACAGGTTACTGGTTGGGTTATGCTTAGAAATCTCTTGAGGGGAAAGAAGAATCAAGGATAATTTTGATTGAAAGAATGGAAAAACAGGGAAGAGAATGAAAAGATTATTCTGGCATCAACAATGAACGACATCTTTCCATTTTTCATCATACTTTCCTGCTGATGCATGCCTGCCTCTCTCTTACTTCATGGCCTCAGTCTTTAAATCCGCCTTGTCATTATGCAAAGGAAAAATAGAAGAATCCCTCTTCACACGTGTTGTGCCTAAATTTAGTGTGGCTTTGTAGGACGTGGACAGTCGTATTCTGCATATTCTCAGACATTTACTCATCTGAACCAGCTGGAGAGGAAAACCTCTCCTCGCTTTAATCCTCCCTCCTTTCCTCCACAACCTCTTTGTTCGTGACCTTCACGTGTCCTACCGCCGTTTCCCCCTCCAAACCCAAATCCCATCCGACTGAATTCTTTCTATCTTTTCTTCATTTTTTTTCTATTTCCCATTTCTTTTGTGGTGCCTTCACCTCATTGCAGTCCCTGTCATTCTGCCAGAGCTTGTTGAAGAAAACTTTTGTCTGAAGAGCATGACGGACAGATTATGGTGGTTGGGACGCATGTTTCCACCGCTGGTCAACGTCTTTGGAAAGAGTCGTGTGTGGCCAGTTAATGCGATGAAAAATGAGTCATCATTTCCGCACTGTGTGTGACGCTGTGTCTTGTTCATGTCATCTAAGTAGTTATTGTGAAACATGAAGAATCATCTGTTCTCATTAAAATTCTACTTGGTGGTTTGGAAGTTTAAACAAAAGTTTGCACCAAATGGCACAAACCCGCTTTTCTGCACATGCATTATTTTTCAGCGTTGCAATCAGTGGGGTTTGGCTTCTGCAGAGCCGGATTAAAGGAGATTTTGTTTTTGGTCTTCAAAACGTTAAAAACTCCCATTTACAAGAAAGCACTGAAGAGTCGCTTTCCAAACCAAAGTCCATAATATTTAGAATCATCAGAAGGTTTCAGTGAAACCGTTTAACAGAAATATAGCAACACAAATGAAATTCTAGTCGCCTCTTTTTTATTGAGAGCAGATGATCCCAGTCAAGGGTAATTATAGTTTAAAAATATGTCATTCATCTTTGTTTTGACTAGGATATAAACTTGCTGGTAAAGTATTAAAAATTACCACAAGTAGCCATTAGGTCAACTGGTTCACTTAGTGAATGTTACTGTGCTTTGGGCGTCCATACCCTTTAAATATTTTCACAGTGTAACCATACACCTCAATGTATTTTATTTGGATTTTAACTTCCTTGCTGCTGCTAAAGAAAAGCATCCCCACCTCATGTTGCTGTCGCTGTAGTTGGAATGTGTTTATGGTGATGTAAAGTGCTAATTTTCCACCTAACATAGCCACAAAACAGATGTCTTTATTCTGAGATTAAATTGCACATAAGGGGAACTTGGTGTACTAATTAGTGGTGCACAGTAGAGTAAATAGGCTGAACACAAGATTTTTTTTGTAAACAAAAAATGAAAACCCTGGATCCTGTTTAGTCCTTTTTACAAGACCTGTCCTGCGTTGGTCTATTTTATATTTCACTGAAATAAATTTAAAGTTTATGGTTGTGACCTAGTGGGTTAAAAGGGTAAGACGATGTTTGGAAGGTTGTATACTCAGAAGGGTTTTCTGTTGCCGTAATACTTGAGTTACATAAACATGAGTTTAAACAAAAAAATCCAGCATCAGAAGGTTTTAAATGAGGAGAACATATTAAGTATTACTACATATTAAAAATAAATCCCATCATCTCCAGATAGAAATTAAAACAAGATAAGGTATTAAGGCTTTGGAAAGAATCATAGAAATTAGAGATGGAGTTAAAGTTCCCCTTGGTGGAGGATTTGCCCTTTATGCCTCACCCTGACTTTGTGACCTGTGAGTCACAGCTGAGGAATTCAGCATGAAAACTGCATGGGAGCAAAGGATCAACGGGCTCCTGCTGGGGCGAAACAAAAGAAACCCTCCAAAGGAACCAGCTTACTCACAGGTCTGCTCCCGGCCAGCGCCGCTGCCCTCCGTCTCATCTGTCCTCTCACGTTTCTCTCTTTTATGTGGTTATGATTTCAGCATTTAAAGCATTGGGGGAATCATTGGATAATTTGATCTCATCATCAACCGCAACCAGATTTTGTCCAGGAATGCCTGAAACGGTGCTTTTAAATGTAGCTGATGTTTTTCACCCAGGAAGGAGAACAATGAAATTGTTTCAGCTGAGAAAGTAGCAGCTTTGGTCGTATCCTATAGAGTCCAGAAGGTTCTTTCTCCTAAACGCTTTTGATTAGAGACAAATACAACCATGAATCTAGTTGAAGCTTGGAATGATCATTGATCACCAATATTGTTATTTGAGCACAGTTAGCTGGCAGCTGTTTTTTCTATATTTTTATTGTATGTGATTGTGGCATAGTGGGTTTGGTTTTTTACAATTTTTGAAACTTATGGAGTTCATGTAGATTTTCCCTCCTCTGACACCCATTTTTTAAATACTCCAACCAGGGGATGGGTAATTTAACTTCAGCATAAATACAGCTGGAATACTAGTTGTTGTACAAATTGTTGACAAATGAATATTACACTTTCCATTTGTGCAGTCCATTGTGTGTAACTGAATACACATTTATTTATTGAAATGGTACTACATATATTTTGCTGTCATTTAGAAAAAGAACTGAGTCTATATTTGACTGGATGAAGTAAACCAGCTTATCGAGTTCAGCTGTCTTCCAGCTGGACTTTTTATTTTTTTTATTTCAAAAGATAAACATGTGTCTTCAGAGTAATTCTGGGTTTGGTGGAGCCAACAATGTGAGGTTCAAACCGGTCAGCCTGTGATACTTTCCACTTTTTAGCCTGTTTTTGTTTGATTCTTTAAAAATGTCGGTCCAGCCAGCAGGCTTGGGTTTGAACTTTCATATCTCAATAGACTGCTTGTGTGGTAACCACTGCAACCAAACAATCTGGGGAAAGAATTATGACTTTCTGCTTCTGAATCATGGAGGTCTTAGTGCAAGGGCGGGAGCGTTCTTCCTACGCAGTTCTGGAGCTGCTGCTCATCCGGCAGACACTCGGCGCCTCATAAGAGCATCCTTGATAGCAACACCTCCGTGGCTCATATCTGGAGCGTTGCCTCAGCCTGAGCAATGCTGTGCCAGCTTGCAACCCAGTGATCTCATCGAGTTCGACAAAGCCTCACCCCTCTGTGGGGTCAGCAACTACAGGCAGACACTCACATTTGTGTTTTTTGTGGATAAATATGCTGTTTACCCACAAACATGATATTTACCCACAAAACACCAGGCACATTGGCCCAGTGTTACTGAAGCTTCATGCGTTCCCTTCTTCACATCCAACACTACGGTTCATCTGGATTCATGTTACTTAAAGAACCCCTCCTCAATCATCTTTGTGACATTTACACATAACTTGACAGGGAAACAGAACTGAAGAGAGCTCTGAATGAATTACAATGTTTTATCTGGAAAAGGTGACACATTTTTGGTTTCACTGAAGCATTTTTCTGTATGTTTTCTAAAGGAAGAGGTGAATCATGTGAACCCCTGCTTATATGTATGCAGAAGGCCCATTGAGAAGTGCAATAAATAATCCATCTTACCCTAGCAATCATTCAGTATGTTGTGCACGTTTTCATAAGTGTTTTTAGCTGCAGTTGATTATTATGCATACAAACAAAAGAACGGTCTAACAATCCTAGATAGCAGTAATAGAGTTATCACTACTTCTGTACATTAATAGTAAGAACTGGCTGTGATCCAAACTATAACTCTCATTGAAGTGTTGAGTGTTACTTTACTATGTTGCTCTGTCTGGAGGGATGAGAAGTAATTGTACTCATTTCCAGAGGTAAAACCTGCCAAATGTACAAATCAGCTGCTCTGAGTTCCTTCCAATAATACAACCAGTACTTTTTCATATTTTGTAATGCAACAACCATAACATTTTTATGAAAAACTACTACTACTACTAACAAAGCATGATCACAACAAACTTTATGTCCCCACCATCTTTTACTCTTTGGATATCTGCAGTCATTGTTTCCCCACATGTAGCAAAAATGTTGTTTTACATTTGACCTGAGCAGCTTCCAGTCTGTGGGTGGTGGTTAACTGCCGCGGTCACGCTGCCGGATTGGGAAGTTCATGACTCCTGGATGTCCTGTTGATTTGTGCAGCTCCTCCAGAGCGGCCATCTTGCTTCTGATCAATGCTCTCCTTCTGGCTGGTCACATCAAGTAGACAGACGTATCTCAACAGGTCTGTCGTTGTGCAATGCTCTTTCCAAGAGTAAGAGACTCCACTTGGCAAATGGATCTTCTGACTGCAATTTATTTCAATGGATTTTATTTATGGGTATAAGAGTACAGGGGTTGATTACAGAAACTTCTTCTTAAATATTTGTAAAAAAAAAAAAAACACACACACACACAAAAAACATATTGTTTTCTTCACTTCTAACAATTACACTATGTGTTGATGGGTTTTTTTCCTGGCTTAGTCATGCCAGAAAAACGAATAGGAACAGTGTCTACTTTCACTTTTTCTTTGTTAGTTTTTAGTAATTCACTCTCGGAAAAAATGACACTTAATACAGAAGGAATATTGTCAGCAAAAAAAAGAAAAAAATCCATCCATCTCAGCAGAAATTTTCAGACGCTTCAGCACTACAGGGTACGTTGGCAGTATTTAACGCCGTCTCTCATGGGGATTGTGTTTCAGGTCGGGATCTGGAGAGAGAGTGTGGTCACCAACTGTCAGCGAAGATGGAAAGATAAGTCCGTTCGCCGAGCCTGATGCACAGGTAACCACCGTCTTCTCTGGATTTCCCAAATGACAAGTCTGAGGGTGTTTTGTCAGAATGAAATTTGCATAAAATTTGGAAGCAGTCACAACTCGTCTCTCAGCTTGACTATGATCAGGCCTTAGTAGGAAACTACTCATAACATGACACCATGTTGAATGGGATTCATTAGGAAAGACATTTAAATAGTGGAGGTAAGTATATGGCACCATAAAAGAGATAGTGACTGATTTTTACTACCCAACATCAAATCTTTAATCTAGTGAAGCTAAATTTGAGTTATGCTCTAAAATCAGCTGTCGGTGATAGTGTCTTTTACAGCCCTTTGCATCTCCCACAGGAGAAGGTAAGTCATGTCTGCGGCCATAACTGTGACCTTTACAACTTAGTGGCTGAGTGGTTCCAGTTTGTTTTGACAGCAAACAGAATCTATGGAAACAGGCACAAAACTCGATCCACAAGCTGCATGTACATGGTCATTAAGTCTGTTATAAATGGGAGAATGCGTCCCACTGTTCGCTGGAACCGTGTTGAAATAGTGTCTCGATTGTTCTCCAAATGATCAGCTGCCAAAAGGAGATTCACGGCATGATGAACTCCACCAGATGAGCTTTTTCCAATTTTTTCCCCCCCAATTTCTGGCACGCCTGCTTGTTTCTGAGCACACAGAGAATGAGACGTGTGTTGGGTGTAAACATGTGTGCACATATGTTGTGCGTGAAGAGTTTGTACGATGGAAACAGACAATGAGAGTATTGTATACGTGAGAGATGCTCAGTTGTCAAGGACTGTTGTGGTAGAATTGAGCCTGACCTGGATTTGTAACAAAATATACAGAAGGTTAGCACTATTGCTCTTTGTTAAAAATATTCACTTTCACTTTTAAAGGTTACTTCTTATCTACATCAGCTGATTTCTCAACAGTGACTCTGTCAGCTTTCCATGGGAGTTTCCCTACACAATACTGTGATATTTTTAGTATTTGTCAACCATTCCCAGCCAGCAGTGATTTTCTCAGTAATACGTTATACAGCTGTGAAACGGATCACAATGGTGACTTCAGTCATTCATATTTTAAAAGAAACATTTACAAAGCATGCATTAATTCTTTCACATCATTTTGCAGAAGTTACCAGACAGAGCTTAGTGTTATTAATGCAGGATGAATAAATACTGTAAATGAGATGATAGTTTATTTTACTCACTCAATGCACAAAGAATTTTTGCAAAACTTTGTGCATTTTTTCATCTTGAACGCTGTTATACATATCAGGTGTGAGTATCATCTGCAGTGAGACTCCAGCTGACCAAAGATACTATTTCTATAGAAAATGTGAAGCTATAAGCAGCAAATATTACACAGCATGTGATCCTTTAAGATATTTGATTTTAATCTGCCTTGATGTCTCAATGAAACTGCATTTAATCTATTGTGTAGTCCTGTTAATTTTAGTTCTCTTTTTCAGAGATAATGAAAATTGTCCAAATATTTTTCTGTAAAACCGGTGGCCCTTCAGCCTTCCTGACTCAGTCAGTCCAATCTGAGGTCCTGGTTTAACATGCAAAAGCAAATCCCAGACCAAAGTGAGGCAGACAATCGGCATCAGTTTATACAAACACAGACGAGCGTGACAGGAGTGCTCTGCCTGGTGGAAACATGAGAGCAGCAAATCCTCCCTGTTCTCCCTTTTCCTTTTTCTCCATCTCTGTATCATCTCATCCAGTCCTTCCTTTCTCCTTCAGCAAACTCTAAAAATTCTCTCTGGCGTCTCTTTCAATAAAGTGAACCTGAGCAGCTTGAAATCACCAGCTCTGGGCCACTTCAGTGTCACACTCAGGTGGAATCTTCTTAGCATGAACAGAGGAAACATCCGCTCCCCGAGCCACAGCTCTCTCTTTCTTTGTTTCCGGCTGTTTTTTGAAACTGCTTGAACGGATCACAATGCTGATTGTTCCTGAGTCTCAGTGGAAATGATATACACATCGTGACCTTGCTCACACAGGCTGACTCAAACGTTGCACCATGTGATATTTTTGGCTCTGATTTTTATATCAGAGCAGTGATGAGCTGCTGTAGAAACGGCCAACAGAGATTGACTGGGCATGACAATCGAGTTAAAAGTTTTGTTTTCAGTAACTTAAAGAAAGGTCTGCCATTCAAAACTTGTATTTACAATTCACTTGTAAAAATCTGGCTTTGTGCTAAGGGTAACAATATTTTGTTAGCTGACAGCATTTGAAGATGGCGCGTTTATTCTTGCAGTCCCAGATTAACAGATGGAATATTTATTAAATAGTTGGAAATTCCAGTCTGACTTATGGGAATTTACTACTGAGCAGGAAGTGACACATGGAAGGTGTGAGATGTTTCCTTTCACCTTGAGAGCCCTGGAGATTCTCATAAAAGTTTGAGAGGAAATGCTGTAGTTTTTGGCTACCAACCAAGCAGCCATGTGACTGTTTCTATAAAACAGTAGAACCATATGATGCAGGGTTTTTTCTTGGGAACTGTGCTCATATTTTGGAAAGAGTGACCACAGGATGGAAATGTAACTTCTTAAAATAGAAATGATTGTGATAAAGACGAGTGGTAAGGGTTAGGTCATGATGAGGTGTCAGGAAGGCCGTTGTAAATTGCTTTCGTTTTAAGTGTTATTCTTTTTGTTTTGTCATCAATGTTGTTTTTTGCAGTACGTTCTTCTTTCCTGCAGCTTTTTAAACGCCCAATCGTTTGCCTTTGCTTCTCTGCGTCAACATGAATCCAAATTACATGTTTGCCATCCAGTTGGCATTTTCAGAAGCACTTGTATAGCATCACTGAAAAGTAGACAGTACAAGTTAATACAAAATGTATTTAGTGGGAACCGTAGCCCAATGAGGGGATAAACAGTTCCTCCAATGAGATCTGGGTTTCCTCCTTCTGGGATGTCACTTGAAAACCTCCCAATCCTGGAGCTTCCTGACCGAACATCCTCACCTGGCTCCCCATGGTACAGACCAGCAGAGAATCCACTCTAAGCTCCCAGCAGATGACAAAACTCTGGGTTTTTGTCACCATGATTCCTAATCTCATATTTTAAAGACCTCCTAAGGAGGATTCAGAAATGTTTTCTTCCTCTTATGGACATTGAGAAATGCACCACAGTTCCTCCCCCACCAGTTGCTCGGCGTTGCTAATCACCAGACTGACGCAAGTACCTGCAGTTTTTCCACACTTACAAGAAAAACACATTTGGCTGATTGGAAATATTTCCACCAATAGTCATGGTGTAGAATTTAAAGTATCACCATCCTTAAGTGTTACCTTATGAGGGTGACGTCAATTTACAATTGGCAAAAAGAATCTGCTTCTCTGTCCAGCAGCAGCGTGGAGGCTAGCGGCTCCAGCTTATTGACCAGCTAAAATCAATTTCTAATAGAGCAGCAGTTCTGAATGCAAGGTCAGGTCAAAGTCTGTTAATGGATTAAAAAAGACCTTTACAAAATATGCATCAGATCTTTTTATAAATGGCTTTAACTGCGTGGTTATCAGCTTTTCTCTTGAAACATTTTCACACACCAATATGGTTATACTACTCTATCAGTTACTCGTGTTTTAAAGTGTCTTAACTGAAGTTATAAAGTGGCAGCTTCAAGTAAGTGGGAAATTCCTGCTGTCAATGTTTAAGTCAAACAGCAGTTCTTCTGGCTAACAGTTCCTCGGTGTCATTCATGGCAGCTAACCTATCATTATACTGTTAGCTATTGTGGTCAACAACTATGGTCCTGTGGAAAGAATGGGGCCTCACAATGATGAAGCCGAGAGGTCTGGATCACACGTCACTGGAAGCTTCCAGTCTCAGCTCAGGCGTTGGCAGCAGAAAGCAAATTCTCCAAGCTAACATTAATAGGAGCTGACAGATAAACTCCTTGCATGACTTGCAGGCCATAATTCCCCCAGTCCCTGGAACTGAATTATGCTTTTAAAACAAAAGTGTGCACATAAAGCACATTTGTTTTGTCAAAGGAACAATGCCATTGTTTTGAAGTATTTGCTGTTAAAGCTGCTGTTCCTTTCAAGATGGGATGTCCAATTATTTAATGGTCTATTGACCTTAGCAAGCCTGACTGTTTGGTGTACCGAATGCTTCAATAATTCACTAAATATTCTTCTTTGACATCCCACCTGCAAATCATTTTGCTTTTATATGAGTGTTTGTGTTCACTACCTAACCACTAATCCGCTGAAATGTCCACATCGGTTTCAGGTGCGTAGCTCTCGGCATGTTGTGAAGTAGATGGAGTCGTTAAAACTTTTTTTTTGTTCATGAGGCTCCACCTGTCTGGAATCATTTAGGTGCATTTGATTTACACACCTTTCATTTTCATGTGTGTGCAGATTAAAAGGGTTCCATTTTGGACTCATTTTGACCAAAATGGAACCCTTTTTACCCACCTGAGAGTATTTAACTCTGATTTAACTGTGATACAGCTTTGATTTAAAGCTTCTTTAGTGAAAAATGGGAACACTGCATGTGGATTAAGAGTGGATTACTGGCCTTTCAGCGACCACAAAACTACTTGGTCCAGGCAGTAACACTAGAACAAGCTTTAAAAATATTATACCAGCTTTTTTCATAAACAAAAAAAACATTTTTTAAGGTTCCACCACACACATCTTTACAGGCTGTGCTTGATTTTTGCCAGACATTTTGCTTTGCATTGTTGGCAGATATCTCTGCTTTGGTCTCTTCTTCAGTGAATGACTTTATTGTCAATGTGCAGAGAATCAGTACAGGGAAATTAAGAATGACTCTCTTCTAAGGCCCGATTAGTAAAGTAATAACTACAAACAAACACACAATTTTATGTCCAAAGAAGATTGGAGACTTGAAGTTGGAGTTGTCTTCAGATGCAGCCAACCAACCCTGAATGTATGAGCTAAAAAACTTTTTATAGCAAGCATTCAAATCAAACTAAACACATCTTAAGTCTTTTTTAATTGTAATGCTGAGGCCTGTAGGTTCTAAGATGTAGAATTGTCACTTTCTTTCCTGTCCCCTCATTGAAAAATTGACATGTGAAAAATGTTTCTTGCTGTACAATGACCTTGACCCTTCTTCTATTAATTTGCAGCAACAATTGTTTTTCTCCAGTCATTGTTTTTTCTTGGTATGAGTTTATCCACAACTGTATGCTGCAGAACAACAAACTTCCAGAACTCCTGTTGGTTAATCTAGTTTACTGGTCAGCAGCTCCTGGCTGCTCTTTCTATTTTAACTGTATGGTCAGTAAAACTGTTACTAAAGCATAAATTCATGAGTGGTTAGGTTATTTACATTTATTAGAATTAACTTTTTCTTTATTGCAAAATGTTTGTAAAACATTTAATATTTTCAGACCAACTTTTCTGCAGCACGTGATACTCTTTGTTGTCGTCAGGGCTTTTCAAATGGGGGTCAGGCCCGGGGAACCGTGAAGCGCCGGTTTGTGTTTGGTTAGTAGTGCAGGCTGCTATCTGAAAAGCTTAACTTTGAATGAATTAAACTATGCAGGAGGCAGCAAAGACAGGAAGTGGGTGCATGTTTCAGCATTGCCATGAACTTGTATGTGAAGCATTTGGGTTTAAGTCTCCAGTTATAAACAAACATGTGCTTTCATTTAAGCTGCTCCACCTTTCAACCCCCAACGTCTGTCCTCTGGTCCCGAATCACCGCTCTGCCACAGTCTGACCCGCTGCGCACTGAGACGTTGGACTTTCTGTCAGTGTATTGAGTGGACATGTTTGGGCTTAAAATGACCTCAGTAACACATTTTGAAGTGTGTAAGTAAAGTCAAAAGTAAACACATACTTTTCTCTCTTTGCCCTGACTCTTCATGGTCCTTCCTGTGTGTACACACTCCCTTACACTACAAGTCTTCCTGAAACATTAGTCATGCTTGGTTACGAGTGAAAAGCACGCTGTTGAAATCACGTGGATTCCTCGATTTATGGGAATTGGACAATGCTGGGCCTCATAAATGGAGTAGTTCAGTCTGTTTTTGTTTGGAAAAGCAAGTTGCACCAAATTTTACTGAATTGTAAGGGTAATAAAGGGCTATTTTATCTTTAGATAAAAGCCCACATCAACATCTCTAAACTTTTAAAATGAAAATATGCATCTTTATTGAGGAAGATTTGGCACAGGTAACTTAAAGACGGCAAACTGCTGCACCGTTCCTACACCTCAAAGGCACTAACAGGTTCTGAATGTAAACATACTGGCATTTTTATAAGGCATGCACCAGATGTGCTGCCTTATAAATCTTCCATCCATCTAAAGAAAATATCTGTGGAACGGGCGTGGACGGGGAGAACGGAGAGAGCGCTGCAAGAATGAAAAGACAAAAGGAAAGGCTGACAGGTTTGGCTTGGCTGGGTTCAATCAAAACACATGAAGTCACCCCATTTCAGTCAGGTGTGTTCGGTTGAAACTGTCCCAGCTTTTTCAGTATTTCTGCAGGAAATGCAGAATACAGGTGTATATCGTAGCTGGAAGATCAGAGCACATCCTTCACCTTTTATTAATTTTATTCTAAGGATAATGGCATCTAATCTTTAGCAAATTTACAACCAGGGCCTGAGCAAGCAAACTTTGTGTAGCTCTTCTTGGTCACTTCCCTCTAGGTCTGTAAAACAAAAATTGATTCCTTGACTTTTATCTTTCTTTTGAACATGTCATTATATATGTTAACAAAGGATTACCTGTCGTTCTCCACTCATGTTTGCAGAGATCGGTATCATAAATCAAATGTCTATTAAGTTTCAACTGGAACGTGTAACAAAATCCACTCTCATGGATTTTCTTTCCCACTTTTCTAAGAGCACAGACGTGACTAAACTCGCCCGGTTGTCTCAGTTATTCTTCTGATTGTTATCTGGAGATTTAACCTTGTCTAAGAGTGAGAAACGAATAATGAAGACTAAAAAAGACATGTAGGGACAGCTATTTGTTTTTGAAGAAATTCTGCCTCAGTTATGGATATATTCTCAGGAAATTGAAAGATTAAAGAGGATAAAGAAAAAGTGCACATGAGGACAGCAGCCAGAAACAGAAATCTTAAAAGTCGAATGTTATCAAAATGTTTTGTTAGAAGGAAAAAGGAGACAACTGGAGGGAAAAGGGTTTGGCACAAACTAGTAATAGTAACTTAAAAAATCCTGCCAATGCTACATTTTTGGTGGATCTTTTCATTTTAAAATAGAAGTTGATTTCAGAATTTAATTTGTTCAAAGAATCTTCACACTCCTAAACTGTTAGGCCAAACCAAAGAACTTCCAAAAACACTGAGGCCTTAATGTGGTTGTCATGCATTCAGCAGTGTAAGAATAAGAAGCTAAAGACAACAAGCAGGATCTAGTCTGGCCTGTTTGGTTCTAGTTTGGTCGTCATTGCTTAGAATTTAGTTTCTTTTCTTCTAAACTGCCTCTCAAAAGTTATTCACATTTAACTTTTTTATTTGCCTTTTTCCACTGTTGGATAAAGACCACAAAATTAAATGTATTTTAGTAGAATTATATGTAATACCACAACAATAAAAAAACCCTATGCTTAACAAATGTTAGACTTTTTTGTAACAAATTGACATTAAAAAGTGAATTCTCAGTCCTTCATTTTGATACAACAAACACTATTCAGTGAAGGCTTTAGTTTCTGTTTGACCATTAGCAATGGTCCATTAGTGAACAAACAGCATGAAGACCTAGAAACCCACCAGACAGCTTAAACATCTACTATCACTTTTCAACCTACTATCCTAAAACAGGAAGTGAGTGGCTCACTTAATCTGACTGCTGCAGAGATCCACAACTGAGGCGGCATGAACAATACAACAATCCAGGTGATGATGGGATAAGTATTAGTTATGAACTCCACTCTGGCTTTTGTGGAAAAATAGCAAGAAGAAAATGATTGTTGAGATAAGCCATGAAGGCTTGTTGCAGCTTGTAACAACCAAACAGGAGACATTAAAAAGAAAGTGCTTTGGTTAAATGAGACCAAAATAAACCATTTCACTCTACACCCAAAACGCTAAGTCTGAGGTAAACCTCATTCTGCACGCACCAGTCACACTGGGTAACATGGTGGTGCCAGCATCATACTGCTGGAGCACGGAAGCTGATTAGAGTTGATACGAAGTTAGAAGTTGGGTACATTGACATCATGGAAAAACCTGTTAGTGTCTGTAAAACACTTTATACTGACAGGGGGGTAGGATTTCTTGTAGGACAATGACCGGTCAGATCTACGCTGGAATTCCAGTGTGGAACGGCCCAGTCAAAGTTCACACCTAAATCCATGTTGGAATCTTTGGAAGGACTTGAAGTGCACCCTTCAGATGTTCTCCATCTATCCTGACTCGGCTTGAGCTTTATTGCAAAGTAGAACAGGCGGAAATGTCTCCAGATGTATGAAGCTGTTAGAGGCAAAACCCCAAAGGACTTAAAGCTGGAACTGCAGCCAAACTGGTTTCACCTAAATACAGATTCATAACACGATTTTCAAATGTTATAAAAGAAAAAAAAAGCACCATCTTGTGTTGGTCTGTCGCATAAAATAATAAAATTCCTGATGTTTATGGTTGCAACATGAAAAAGTGGAGAAAACTTTATTGTGGTTGCTGTAGCTCTGAATGCAAACTCTTCACTAATATTTTAATCAAAGCGTCTTTTGTTCAAATGTGCCTGTATTGTTGAATTTTTAAGGAGTGTTTGTGGTTTACATTTTCTTTAATAGCATGGGACTTATGGAGGACCAACACTGACGTAATAAAAAATAAAAGCATAACTAGATTTTTATGCTTTATTTATGCTAAATAGATATTTATGCTTTTATTTTTTTATTATGTCAGTGTTGGTCCTCCATACGGACTGGACAATGGTGGGAAATTTGAAAGCTAAGGCTTGCTGCTGCAGAGGGAAATCCTACTACACTTTGAAAAGCTTTGATTGCATGATTACCATAGACCTGTGTGTGTGTGTGTGCGTGCGTGTGGTCCAGGGGAAAACTGAGAACAGGAGGACATCCAGCAGATCCATCTGTTGAAATAACAAGGGTTCTGGCTACAGAGGCGCTGAACCTCCAGCACCTGTGACTGAAGCACTTTAAACCAGCCCAGAACACACACATGCTCACACACACACACATACACACACATGCACCCATTCCACTGGCTCAGAATTACAGAAATCTGTTTTTCATGCTGTTGCATGGTCGAACTTGTAAACAAGTTTCTCCATCTCAGCTAAAATGTTTAAAAACTCTGAAGCTGTGATAATGTACAGCTTTGTTTAGTCAGTAAAGCTGCTGGCTATCTTAGAAATTCAAAGGCCTGAAGCGGTATCAGAAGTGGTGACATAAGCGCGAGCGTTGCAGTAAAACCTTATCTGGAAAATTCTGTCTGTGAGACATCCGAGCCCGGCTGCAAAGCGAGCATTATCTCTTAAGTGCGCTGATAGCTGCAGTAAACACCGAGCAGCTCGATGATGTCACATTGCGTTTGTGCAAATGCATGAGGAGGGTGTTGACCTCTGCACAAACTCCAAGGATACAGCAGTTATGTAGGTGTCGAGGCAAGGCAAACTAAATGCAAATGTAACAAAAAGTAGACAAGGTATCATAAAAACTAATATTTGATTCCTATTGGAAAGCAGTACAGAAAGTGGAATCTTTTTTAAACGTTTTCAAGTTTCTTTTCCATAAAAATCTCCAAGCATCATCTCCACCATTATGTTCGATTTTAACCTATTTTCCATTTAAATATTAAAGTCATCCCTTCTGACATGCCTTTCTTCCTCTTCTTTGTCTCTTTTGCAGAATTTCCGTCCCATCAGCAGCAGTTCTGGCAGCTACGGACGTAAACCTTCGTACACCTCTGATCCACAGTCCCCTCTCACTCCTCAGCCCACTCACCTGAACAATGGACACACCAGACCCAACAACGGCCACAGCTATGGATATGGGAACGGAACTGGGCATGCTCAGTACAACAACCCAGCAGGGCTTTATGCTCACAATGGCAGCAACGGGGACAGATCCCTGCCAGGCAAGATGGGGGGTCTCAGCCTGAGCGCCACACACAGGTGAGACAATAAACGTGATTTTCAAACGACATAAGTGCCGACAATGAACCATAATTTGCAGGATCAATAGCTCTTGTGGATTAGGTGTGTGAGGTTGTTTTTGTGTTCTAATTTGCACCTTATTTCTGCTGTTTTAATTAGTCTTGTTCTGCCTTTCTGAGCTTTTCTCTAGAGCTACCATCAAAATAAGCCCTCATTTTAATGTGTTTGTTCCCTATAAAACCCAGATTAAAGAAAGAACAAAGAGATCCATGTTGTTTTCCTGCTGTAACCTGTACGAGTGGAGAACAGTGAACCATGTCCGTGCAAGCTGTTAAGGCTTGTTGGCTTTCAGAATATCTCTCCGTGAGATTTCCCAGATCAGCCTCATTGCACACCACGGCTGTGAGAAAACCACACAAGGAAGTAGGAGCCCGTCTCCAGCAACGGGCTCTGAAATTAAAAAGTAGGATTTCATTTAAAAACAGAACTGTAGTATGTCATACATGGCAGATGTCGGTATGTGCAGATCTTAACAGAGACCCAGTTTGGATATCCTGCGACACACCTGCGCGGCTTGCCCCTGATAGCCTGGAAAAGCCATTTGCTGTTGTGTGTTCCCTCCAGCAGGTTATAAACCTGTGTCTCCTGTTCCCTGGTGAACATCCTCTGAAAAACTCCCAGAGTTCCCTGCGACTGGACTGTTAATCCCATCCAGGTCTCCACCCCAAGCCCAACGGAAAACCCAATATTTAAAACTATTTTCATGGCACCCATTGACTTCTGTCATTCTGCTTCTCCAACTGAACCTATTACTGCCATTTTTCTCTATCACTCAGCTTCACTTCAAACAGAGCTGAGCGTTTTTTCTGTCATGTAACTTCCTGGTGCTCCTGAAAAGGAGTCTGGAGACAAACGTGCCGTTAAGTGTGTCTGGTCTGCACACATCTGTCAGCAGCTCAGCTCATCATCTTCCTAAAGCTTGAAGCTTTCAATCTGGATGAATGAGCAAGCACAGGCATGGCATGGAGCGGCTGATAATCCCAGAGTAATCCCAGCATAAGGAATCACATCTAGAGAAAAGGAAACAGCTGTTCTGGTGCATCCATTCTGATTTTATAAAACCGTTTTTCCACTCTTGCGTTGGTGATTTTTTTCCCTTTTATATTCTTTGTTTTTTCTTAGTTCATTGTTGTATATTTAACCTAAATCCAGTGTTAAAAATATTTGTTCACACCTGATTATTCAGAGCATAAACAGGAGCGTGGCTGGTGACCACGTCAGTTTGTGCTGACGCTGATGTTTCCAACCCTGTGACTAAAGTTGATTAAGAATCAATGTGACCCAAACAAGGATCAAAACTTTAATTAATAAGGTTATATTATAGAATCTTATGAAAAAGAGATAAATCAATTTAGTTATTGATGATTGTTTGTCAATCACCTAATTTTACCAAAACATTTTGCTTTGTAGAAAAACAGCCCAATAAGTTTTAAGTTCCCAAGAAATGATTTAAATATCAAAAAATATTATTCCTGGCTGATACAGTTATAGACTTATTTATTTAAATATTGCCTCCAAATGCAACTTGAATGCAAGAGACGAAAACCATTAAACAATAATGTGCTGCTGTTTCTTTGGAAGTAATAAACATTTGCATCTACCTTTTATCTGATTTTAACAAAACTCAAAATACATTTTTTCAACAGCATTCTGTTTCTTGATACATTTACAGACTCAATGCAGTTTTGATAAAGATTCAAGTTTTTCAGCACATAACAACCTGGCTGATTGGTTGGTGCGTCACTAACCAGACTCTTCAAATTAACATTACACACATTTGATGTAACTGCAGGTTGTGCAGTGAGTGACAGCATGTGACTCAGGTTGACCACTGGATAATGTTAATGTGGGATCTACACTTTAAGTAAATTGTTTCTTTATTAGCTGTGTTTTGTTCATATAAAAATAATGCTGCATAATCAGCATTGTGTGTGTAAACCAGAATCTGTAGAGATTTATTCTTTCCTCCTTCATCCGTTGCTAAACACATGCTGTTCTTCACCCTTCTTCACTCCTAATCGTCATCTGTTGGCTGCTTTGCAAAAGCTTTTACTGAGTCATGCTTCTTATGTGGTTTTCAGTCCAGAGCCTCCTCCGCAGTCCCCAGTGAGTCGTAATGGTTTCGACCCCCAGTCAGATGTCTACAAGATGCTTCAGGACTACGAAGAGCCCGTCTCTGCGCCCAAACAGTCTGGCTCCTTCAAATACCTGCAGGAGATCCTGGACGCTGAGGACGGAGGTACGGCCTCGTGTGTTTGTGTCTGATATTTAAGCAACAAATGGAATCAATCCAAACCTTTGCAGAAATATCAGCATAATCCAAACATTTACAAAGTCTTCTGATTGTTGAATAGTGGAATTGTAGGTTGAGTTATGCTCCGTTGAAGTGTTTTACTGTCTATGCAGAAGTGTCAGGAAATGGTTCAGAATGACAAACAGAATGTTAGAAAGTTGTACATTTTAATTTGTGGCTTTGTCAAGCTTAAAAAGATACATGTAAAAAAAATCAGCACAACTTTACCACCAGCTGTCACAATACAGTTATGTTTACTTCAAAGTAGGCATGAAATAAGCATTGAGTTCTGCTCACATACATCAATGCATTTCTTCCAAACAGTCACATAAACACAAGGCGTTTGGGAATAAATAGTTCCTGCTTTGCAGATGTGACTTGTGATTCTCGCTCAGGGAACCTCTGACTGTTTGAAGCTCCTCTATCTAGTGGCATAGTTTTCCTTTTATAGAAAAACACTGACAACCAAGTTAAAAGACAGATAGGAAGGAGGAGAGACAGAGAGAATAACCGAAAGAAAAGCAAAGACAAAAGGAAAGAGAAAGCCTAACTGTTTTAAAATAGATCTTGACTCGAAGAAAGTCCGGAGGAGGGAAGTTTTGGTAAAGCAATTTAGAGCAAAAACAACTTCACAGAAGACAATAAAAGTGAGAAATACGGCTTTCCTGTCCGACTACTTGGCATTCTTTCATTTGAGGAGGAGTCATGTGATTCTGACAGCAGCAGCAGAAAGTTAATCCCTGGAACTAAAACCTTCTCTTCATGTTTACCACTGAAGCTGGACAAAAGTTTAGGGAGTGGGAGAGGTAATTATAACTTAGTGTGTATTTATACAACAATAAAATATATTCATCATTAATGTTCCTCTTAGAATCTAACATAAAAGGAACCTTTATAAAAGTGTTTGGACTGAGTGGAGTTTGTAACTTTTAGCTGCATCAGTAAACTTCTCAGCCGCTAAGTAAATATCATTTTTATATTTTCTAGTAGAAAGTATCACAAAAACCTTTTGATTTTTGTTTTAAAGATGAGAATCTAAGTCATACCCCAAACTCAAGACTATTTTTTTTTATTTTGAGTAGGATTTTCGATTTTGTTGTAAGTTAAATATAATATTTATTGAAGTTGCAGCTTGCAAAACAAAACAAAGTATTTTGCTAATTAAAATGCATAAAGAAGAAAAGTATTTGTAAATGTAAGTAAAATGAACAAACAAAATAATGTAAAAGGGCAGAAAACGTTTATGGTATGTGTGTGTGTGTGTGTGTATGTATATATATAAATAAATAAATTCATACCTGAGATGAACATCAACACGTTACTCGTAAACGATGCTCGTTCTCACATTGTTACTGTTTAGCAGGGAAACAGGACATCATGGATTATAGTTACTGGTTCCTCCACATTCTGATCAACGGTCACTTTTTGTTGAACCAAAACACAAGCAGGAAGCAGGTAATATAATAAATGTTTACTGACAATGAAGGATAATGAAGTACTCTTCAAGACATGAGGTGATGGTAACAGAGGAGCGGTTACTGAACAGGAAGGACTGTTTAACTGAAGAGAAAAAACTGCAAGGAGAAACATGGAAAACACAAGGATCAGTGGAACTACAGCTGAATACAAGCAAGAAATACTTCAGAAAATGACAAAGCTAAACCAAAACACTCATGACTTAAACATGAAAGTATAAATTACAAACATGCTTCACTTACATTTATTTGAGATACTTTTGAAGAGTACATTTGTTTACATTTTTTTAAATATTTTTTATTCTAATGCATTTTTTTGTTCAGTCTTTTTCCCACAGATTTAGTATCAAGCAATCTTTGTTTTTTTTTTTTTTCTTCTGTATTAGATTCTGTCACAACATTTCAGGCTGTAGCTTTGAAGTGAGAGTTGACAGGATAATTCAAAGCACCAGAAACAAAGTAAAGTGCTCCCGCAGTGAGGCCCGGGGCAAAGCCAAACCGCACAGCTTCTCTAATTTATCACCTTCATAACACTTAGTGGACCACAAAAAACAAGAGCTGAAGAAGGAGACAAATGCTAACGACAGATGAAAGCGACTGGAGGCAGAGAGAATCTAATGCCACTGATGAACTTTACAGATTAAAAGCCGCCTCTCTTGTCTGCTGTCTTTCAGCTTGGGGAATGAAGGGTTGACTGACACTTAAAGCCCTTCAAGATGCTTCAAGTTTACAGAGACCCTTTTAAAAGCTGCATGTCTCTTTGTTACTTTGGTGCCTTTAAATCTGAAATCTAACCACAGATGTTTCACATCTTTTTTTTTTTTTTTTTTTTTAAAAATGGTTCCCCTCATCCAGTTTTGCCAAACTGTGTTGACATGTGACTAGTTGAACAGCGCTTTACTTTATTATTGAGCTTTTAAATCTCTCTAGCTGGTTGCCGTCTGAAGGCGTGAGCTCCTGCAGAGGTCATGTTGTGTTTAAGGGGCTTTTAGAGGAAAAGCAAACAACAGTGACAGTTGGCCAGAAATCCTCCAGACTCTGACCCGGTTTACTAGAAATAATAGTCGAGCTGCTGTTATAATAAATATTCTGTCGCTAAAGCCGACATGGAATTTTTACAATAAGAAAACAGTTTAACAGAAACTCGTATTTTTGCGATAAAATTCTTTTTCCTGAAATTTATCTTGGTTTTCTGTAACATTTTAGAAAATCAATTGCAAACTAAATGTTTTCTGCATATTTTTTCACAAATTCATGTTGCTATTGCAGTAATGCAGTAACATATTTATCTTTCATAGACATTGAGAAGGAAAGCCATCAGGCTATATTTATACTAATATTACATTGTAACCATTAATGGAATATATTTAAGCCCAAGATTCTTTGTACACCTGGTATATTTATATAAAATTGAATCTTTTAATTTTGCTAACATATTTCTACTGTCAGTAATAATAATGCTTTGGAGCGGTGCAGTCCAGACTTCAGTCCAGTGGAGACTCTGCAAAGATTAGGGTGTTGGCAAGGAGAGCTCAAATACTCTCAGATTTTATTTTGCCAAATTGCCTTTGGAAACTTGCAGAAAGCTGGTCAGCAATTATAAGCAGAGTTCAGTTGCATTAATAAGTACATTATTTCAATGTTTATTGTTTATAACTAGCTTTGCTGTAAAATAACAAACCACTTTGATACATAAAGCCATACATGGTGAACAGATGTATTCATAAATGCATCTATTGTTGTCTTCATGTGGCTGAAAAGTGGCTGGGATTGTTTACATGAGCTTTAATTTCAACATCATTATGTGGCCTAAATTTGGATATCAAAAGTCTGATGTTTTGCAAAATATTTGTTTAAGTCTGTTAAAGAAAGTGAGGTGTGTGTTGTGAGCAGAGCAAATCAGATTCTGTGAATCAGGCTACTGTATGCGGGTCCACCATCGGAATATAAAACTCAAGCAAGACTAAACAAGCCCTCACTAATTGCACTTTCTGCATTCATGTGTGTGTGCGTGCGTGTGTGTGGTTGGAAACCCTTTATTAGTCAGCCTACTTAATAGAAAGTCACTCTATAGTTGTGCAGCACATAATTTTTTTTTCCATTCCAGTTCTTCATTACATTATAGAGATACTAAAGCCACATTTAATAGTGAATGTGGCTCAGTCAGTAGTTCAGTCACATGTCTGCAGTTAGTGAGGAATAAGAGGTGCTTGAAGCCCAGCTCCAGATGAGGGCTGATTAAACTGTGGTTAGTGTTCATCATACCAGCCCGGTTGGCTTGAATATCCTGTCCTGGCACATCATCAGTGATGTTGATCAGTCACACTATGAACTCCTCTGATCTGCTTTACTGCACTTTAAACGACCAAAGTAGCTCAGACATCCAGCGTGAAGCACGCCACATTCATACCCACTAAGCAGGCATAACTAAACACCTGATGATCTAAGCTGACAGCTCTTCATAAAACTCACCATCTGTGGGAACTCATCTACACCCACCATGATTATCACCCCTATCGCTTATGCGTCATTACTTTAACAGATTGTAACAAGATTTGGATTTGAAGTCAATAAAAATGTGAAGAATCTGACTCCGACTGCTCCTGCCAGTACAATAATTGTAATTCACAAATCATGTGATTGTTGCATAATGATATGATGATTAAATTGTGGCTTTTTGCGGCATTGGTTGTTTTCCCTTCATCAGTCGGCTTTGACTGGTGAAATCTTACCAGGAAATGCTGCTGCAGAAACATGAACAGAGAACACAGGAAAGTCCTGGGGAGGAAAAAACTTAGTAAGAGGAAGAAAAGGAAAATTCAAGACAGTGATGTAAGCTGAAGACGAAAGCAGAGAACAAGGAATGTTTATTTATTTCAATACTTTTCTTTTATTGTGCTGTGAAACGGAGCGCAGTGCTGTGCCTACACTTGCAGTGGCAGCACGTCATCCTGGTCTCATGTTTCAACTTGATCAAAACCAAACTGCATACAGTGGCTTTACATTTTTAGAAAAAGAACTGTAATACTTTATTATTTAGCGATCCAGGTTAATCTGACGTCATTAACTTTCAAGTGGTTTGTTTGAATGAAAAAGCTTAACCTATTCCTAAACTTTCACCACTCCTCCACTAAACCAAACAAATCATAAATATTACTCTTCTAAAAGCTCTCATATAAATGTTTTTGCACATTTTTCCAACATTTGCAGAGGGCATCGGTTCTTATTAGGAGGATTTCTCTGTCTGTTGGTCATTTTGCAGCAAAGCTCCATAAAGAACAAAAACGTCTCACTGAAAAACAAATTAACTCATCAGTGAATTATAATTTTTGACAATTCCAGTTTCTGATGTTCATTATAGGATATTCATAACGATAAATTCCACCAGATAATAAGATGATGCCGTTCAGTTTAGTCAGTAGCATGTCAGTAGGAATTGGAGGTTACAACACCTGAAAGTAATGTTGAAACATCATTTTGGTTCAATGCATTTATCACATATCTTGTATAAACTGCAATAGTAATTTATGGTACCAAAGTAATAATTTGTGAAATCTTAATCTCCTGTCATACCTCATCTGTTTCCAAGTTTCTGTTGCTACAGATGCAGTCAAGTAAAAAACAGAAAACAATATTCATCTTGCCAAGTTACACAATATTTGTAGCAACTTGTTATAGAGAAACCTGTATCCTTTCTTACAGTAATTAACTCGTTTTCAAACGTTATTTATTACCTGACAGCATGAGAAATTAATCTTCCTGCATTACACGGAACTGATGGTCACAATTTTCAGATCATTTTGAGAAGTTGCAGGAACTTTCCGTCTAGTTCAAACATGCATGGAAAATATTTGAATGAATGTCTGAAAGCCATTCATCTCACTGATAAAATAAGCAGAATCAGAAATCCATTTATCATCAAATCACATTAAGCAAAGCAAACACAACCTGTGTGTAAGATAAACATTTAGCAGAGACCTACAGAGAAAGTGTTGATGTTGGAAAACTGTTCCATGTTTATGTGTGAGAGTCTTGCTTGTAAGATGTCTGACAGCTGAATATTTTTGGGTTAAAGTTACGTTTATTGTTTTGTTGCAACAGGTTTGTCACCAACAGAAAGAATGAGAAGCTTAAGATCTCCGGTCAGGTCACCCATACCAAAGCTGGGCAGCCCGATCCCCAGCCCCATGCCTGGTCTGCAGAAGCTCCCCCAGTGCTCACGCTGCTGCAACGGCATCGTGTAAGTACTTTAAGTTCAATACACAAAGACATTGTAATACTTTTTCCAACTCAACAGAAAAAGTGTGTAATGAATTGCATGGTTTAGATATAAGCGTATGACTGCTGAAATGCTTACACTGCATCTGGAAATCGTATATCTTCTGCCTGTTTTGTCACGTCGCCTACAGTCGTAAAGTTTTAAGACCCACACCATGCTAGGTGAGTCAAGGTTTTACTCTGGCTGGAATCAGAGAGGTTAACTCGCACCATTCGACCTGCACCAACCAGCCATTATTTCTCAGAAAGTTTATTTTAATGATTAATCAAAGACACACTCCACACCCAGCGTCACATAGCTGCATGGTTAGACGTAGGTACACAGATGCACACAGTCTGTTTGCCAAAGTTCCCACCAGCACCGGTAACCCGCATAAAAGCTGCCACAGGTAGGCAGTGATGTCATCCGCTTTACACTGACAGGAACACATTGGGGGGCTTGCAGGCAGGAACAGCCTATTATGACCTCTGAGCATTTTACAGCGTTTTGGAGCATGTATAGAGCTTTGTGACGAGAGGTTTTACAGTCAAGCATGACTGGTTTCATTGTGGTTAAAAAAGAAGCAGGATTTTGTTTTAATGATCACTGTGCTGCAGTCCAGAACTAAAACATTAAGCTGCTGTCACAGTCTGTCTCATTTTGGCATTTCTCTATGCATGTTTAATGCTCATCTAAAAGTAAGGGGATTATTTTGTGAAAAATTAGGTCTTGTCGTTTTTATAAAGTATATGTGCTGCATGTGATTTGGCCACGTTCTGCATGTTGCCGTGTGCTTTGACAGCACCATGTGTTTTAATTCTGCTTCCTGCCTAGTGATTGCCTCACCGTCTTCTCTGTCTAAACATTTATGGTCTGTGAGGATGAATCTCAATATATTACACTACCATGGCAACGTATTAAACTTACTACTGCATTTTTCCTGCTACTGAAGTTTTTATTCATAGACTTGGATAGAGCAATCAGTGAACAGCTTTATTCTTTAGCAATGGTTTATTGTTACAGTGGATGATAATAATGACTTTAAACTCTGCATTCTTTCACATGACTGAGTGGGTCATCCCACAGTCTTTCTGTATTAATGTCATTTTATGGTCTTGGTCTTATGAAAATCCAAATTCTTTGAAAAACTGACAGGATTTGCATTAGTTTTAGGCCGTAATGAATTTTACAGAAAAACCCTAAAAACATATAACAGAAGCGTACAGGATTTTCCCTTTTTAACTGAATTACTGAAACTTGGTGGTATTCTGATGTATTGATATATACTTGTGCATATCAGTAAATGTGTTGTAGTTAAATTAATCAGAAAATTGGCTGGACGGCAAACATGTTGTAGATCTGTCAAGCATCTGGCGTGTCTGAGTGAAGGAATCTTCATGAGTGCAGATAGAGTGTCTGCAGAAGTTGGCATGAGAGTTACTAACATTAATATTGAGACAGGATTTTTAAATTAATCCTTAACATCTGAAGTGGAGAAAGTCAGTCATTTTTACTTAGAACTATGTGAGTTCTAAGTAACAGAACTTGTTTTTAAAGTTCTGTGACTCTTAAAAAGAAAACTCTGTTTTTGTGTGGTACCACAGACCTCTGTAATATCTCGGTCAGTAAATAGTGTGACTAGAGTTTTATTCAGAGCAGCACATAAACTATTTGGGCAGCCAGTTTTCTCGTTAATAGTTTGCCTCAAGAATCTGTTTTGCTACATTCCATTTGAGCCGTAAAGTTGGTTTTCCTGTTGCATCTCTTATAAACAAAGTTTCATTAGAGATTAAATGCATAAAAGTCACAGAAACCCATGTTAATGAGCTTCTTTGCCTAATAAGAGTTGGTCCTTTATTGAATACAACAATTAGCAAATCCATCTGTTTTTAGCTTGCAGCTGGAGCCTGATGAAGTTGGCTTTAATTTAATCACTGTGATCCCAGCTGTGACTTCCAAGGCAAATGGAGCCAGTTTCCAGGCGTGACAGCTCTGGTCCTTCTGCATATAAACACACTCATAATGTGTCCTTTGATACGTGATAACATGTGGGACACATATATTCAAATAAGCAAAGGGCTATAAGTGGCTGTAAAAAAAGATAATGTCTGATTTGTATAGATATTGTTTAAATAAACAACTGTGTCACTGGACAGTTCATCATAACTCATTACCTTTTAAAGTGTTAATGTGATGATGTCATCTCCCTGAAGCAACACAAGCTTTTTGAAAACTTTTTTGTTTGCATATGAATTGCACCACTCCACAATTATGACTGCATTTAAAAAAGGAAAACTGTAATATTCTGAAATTAAAAATAAAAGATGTAGATGTGGCACAATGAGGCTCAAGGTGAGTAAAGTCTGAAATGAATTTATATTGTGCTTACGTAGTTATCAAAGCATCAGCAGACACCCATAGACACTGAGGCTCTCAGAAGGTACAGACACACCCTTGGGAATAAAAAGAACTATGATAAATCATTTTGAAACTGTTTCCATGTATGACATCACATTTAAATCCTGTGCAATTCAACTGAAAAACAAACACATCTGTCTAAAAAAACCTGGTTACATAAGAGTGCACACCTTTAAATGAATGCTTTGTCAAACATCTTGTGATTCATTTTAACGTTCAGTCTTGTTCGGTAAAATTCTGTCAGCATTTTTCAGTAATTAGATGAGCCCCAGATTCTCTTGTTGGATCCAAAACATCATTTTCCCTCTTATGAAGTTAGAATTATGTGTATTTCTGTGCATGTTTGGACTCAGTGATGCTGCAAATGAAATCTCTCTTCATCTTCAGCTTTCTAGCAGAGGCTTAAAGGTTTTGGGTCAAAACTGACTGATATTCAAAGCTTACATCCGACTCTAGCAAAAGTAATATGAAAGCATGATGCTGCCACCGCCATGTTTGGCAATTTCCAAAAACATTTTTGTTTCATTATACCATAAAAATACTTTGTCAAGATTTTGTACCCTTTTCCTGACTGGTACTGTTTTACAGTTGAATTTGACATGTCTTTACAAAGTGGAGTGTTTGAAAAAGATTGAAAATGTGGAAGATTCAGAAAAATCCAACTAATAAAGATTAACTTTATTTCAGGTTATTCAGACGGCAGGTGTGACATTTACCAGACTGATGAGTCGCATGCTTCTAGTTCATGGTGCGAACATTTAGCACCCAGATCATTGCACCTTCTTCTTTTTTCTTTAATTTTTTATATTAAAAGATTGTTTTCAGTTCAGTGGTGCAAAATAAACACCTCACCATATTCTGAAAAGGTTTTAAAACTATCAGTTCTAATTATTCAGCAGATCAAATGTGAACATTTGACCAGGATTTATCTTCACTATGTAGGTTTCAGATACTAAACACTGACAGACTTTCATGCTGTAATTAAGTGAGTTAGCATGAGCTACGTATGTTTGATGAAAGGAAAAGCATCTCAGCCACTATGGTTATATTTCTAGAAAGAAGAGAAAATGCTCTAACCATTTTTTTATTTTTGCGCAGTGGCACAATCGTAAAGGCCCGGGACAAACTCTACCACCCAGACTGCTTCATGTGTGACGACTGCGGCATCAACCTGAAGCAGAGAGGCTACTTCTTCATTGAGGACAGTCTGTACTGCGAGACCCACGCCAAGGCCCGCGTCCAGCCGCCTGAGGGCTACGACGTGGTCGCCGTGTATCCTAACTCCAAGGTGGAGCTGGTCTAAGAGGACGAGACTGGCTTCATCTGTAGCAGAAACGGGGAAACCAAAATCTAGTGGAGTGAGGAGCTGAGCGTCGTCACCAGCTGTGATCAGGCTCTGTCGCGTAGGACTGCTGATCTTGGATCAGTTTCGCCTCCCTTGGTGGGGGGGAGTGGTGTGAAATTTCCATGATCCCAGATCAG